GATGAAATGAGAAGAGATGAGATGAGATGAAAAGAGGTGAGGTGAAGTGAGATGAGATGGACCAGCTTGAGCCACTTTGAATCAGATAATTATCCAGTATACTTAGCAGGGAATGAAAAGCAGAAGAAGAATGATATTGCAATCATAGTAAAAGAGTAAATTTTAAGTTCTATTCTGAAATTCAACATTGTGAGTGATAGAAGATCAAAGAAGGCCCATTAACATGACTATTATTCAAATATATGTTCCTACATCTAGTGCCCAAGAGGGAGAAATGAAGAATTTTTATCAAATCTTGCAGTCCAAAATTGACTGAATATGCATTCAAGATGTGTTAATGAAAATTGGTAACTGGAATGAAAAAGTTGAAAACAGAAAAGAAGGAATAGTAGGTGGAAAATATGGGCTTGGTAATAGAAGTGAGACTGGAAATAGAATAATAAAATGTTGTCTTTTCAGTGGTGTATTCATCGCAAATGTTGTTGTTTTTAAATGCCATCGAGTTGCCTACGACTCATAGCAACCCTATAGCATCCCTAATCCCTGCTCTATCTTGTGCCAATCTTATTTTCTCTGACACTTCTACGCCCATTCCCCTAGTCACTGAATCAATTCATCTCATCGAAGATCTTCCTCTCCTGCGCTGTCCCTCCACCTTCCCAAGCATGATGCTCCTCTTCAAGGACATATATCTCCTTGTAACATGTCCAAAACGTGTCAGACAAAGCTTCATAATCCTTGCCTCCAAGGAGCATCCTGGCTTTACCCTCTCCAGGACGATCTTTTTATATGGTATATTCAGTACTCTTCTTCAGCACCACAGCTCAAAGGCATCAACTCTCCTTCTATCATCCCTAGTCATTGTCCAGCTTTCTGATGAATAACAAGTAAATGCAAAATCTATGGCCTAGATGGAGCCTTCTTAGTCTCCAGAGTGACATCGTTGCTCTTCAGTGCTTTGGTGAGTTCTCTGACAGCAGACTTTTCCAATACAATTAGTTTTTAATTTCCTGACTTTCTGGTACCAAGAGTATTGATTGTGAAATCAAGAAAACTAAAACAGGGAAATACTCCTAGGAAACTATCCCATTGTGACTACCATGTGCTGCAAATGGAAGAGGCACTAAGCCACAAGAAGTCAATCCTGGAAGCAGCCGTTCAACCCAAAAGACTTTTCCTCAAAACGGTTTGAGATAGGTAGCCTTTGCTAATACTAGTATTTGGTATTTGGACTTACAGACTCGTAAACTCAAGAAATACTAGCCTCAACATAAGAAATTTGGAGCATCATGAGGTGTTAGGAATAACAGAAGCCCACAAAGCTTGAGATATAAGCTATCATATCAAGGGCTAGATGGGGGAGACAGGTGTTGCATGGAGTAGTTTTGAAATCATTGCAAATACCTTTTTGAAAAGACACAAACAACAACTTTACACATATCTCACTTTTTGGGCTGCATAGGAATTTTATTGACTACATTGGTGGAAGAAATCATTAAAGAAGCTCAGTATCAGCAGTTAAAACCAGGCCAGGGGAAGACTATGGGTCAGACCATCAATTACGAATATGCAAGTTCAAACTGAGGCTGACGAAAGTTAAAATAAGTCCACAAGAACCAAGATACGACCTTGAATCTATTTCATTTGAATTGCAAGATCATTTTAAGAATATGTTTAAGATATTGAACACCAATGATCAAAGACCAGACGAATTGTAGGCTATATCAAGGATATCACTATGAAGAAAGAAAGAAAGAAAAAAAAAGAAAGAAAACAAAACAGGAGATAGAAAAACCTGTAAAGTATGTCAGAAGAAACTCTGGAAATTGCACTAGAACATTGAAAAGTCAAACAAAGTAGGAATATTCAGAAATAAAAGAGCTGAACTGAGGATTTCAAAGGGCAGCTTGAGAGGACAAAGAAAAGTAATGTAATGGAATGTGCTGAGAGCTGGAATTGGAGAATAAAAAAGAAAAGAACTCACTCTGTATTTCACAAGCTGAAAGAACTTAAAAAAATTTAAACTTTGAGTAACAATATTGAAAGATCCTATGGACAATATACTGAATGACTCAGAAAGCCTCAAAAGAAGATGGAGGGAATACACACAATCTTCGTACCAAAAAGAACTGACTGACATAATAATTTCATGAAGTACCATATGAGCAGAAGCCAATGATAATGAAGGAGGAAGTGGAAACTGCATTGAAGGCATTGGAAAAATAAGTCCCCATGAATTGATGATAAACCAATTGATTTGTTACAATTAATAGATGCACTTAGATATGTTCATCAGTCTATACCAGGAAACTTGGAGGACAGATGCCTGACCAATGGATTGAAAGAAATCCACATTTGTTTCCATTACCACAAAAGGTATTTAAACTAAATGTGGATATTATCAAGCAATATCATTAATATCCAATGCAAGCAACATACTGCTGAAGATCATTCAAAAATAGTCAAAAGATTACATAGATAGGGAACTGGGAGAAGTTCAAGTAAGATTTAGGAGAAGTCTCATGACACAAGGGATATTTTTGATGATGTCATATGGACTCTGGTTGAATGTAAAGAATACCGTAAGAATGTCTATTTGTGCTTTATTGACTATGCAAAGGCATTTTGCTGTGTGGATCATAACAAATGGTGGCTAACATTGAGAAGAATGGGAGTCCCAGAGCACTTAATTATGCTCATGTAAAACCTATAGATCATCCAGAAGCTGTTCTGTAAACAGAACAGGACAACACTACGTAGTTTAAAATTAAGAAGGGAGTGCATCAAGGCTGTATTTTCTCTCTTTACTTTTTCAATCTGTATGCTGTGGAAATAATTCAACAAGCTGGACTCTATGAAGAGGAATATGGCCTCAGGATCAGAGGGAGACTCATCAATAACCTATGTTACGCAGATGACACAAACTTCCTTGCTTAAAGAGAGGGAACATGAAGCACTTGTTCCAGAACATCAAGGAGAGCAGCCTTCAGTACAAATTGCAACTCAGTGTGAAGAAAACAAAGATTCTTACGACTGAACTGATAGGCAACATCATGATGGATAGATAAGAAATTGAAAATGTCAACAACTTCATCTTACTTGTATCCATATTCAAAAATAAGGAGACGCAGAACACACAGAAAGCCTGCATTTAAAGACCTCTCCAAATTATTGAGGCATAATGATGTCAGTTTGAAGTGTCTGATTCATGTCATGGTCTTTACAATCACTTCCTATACATTTGAGAGATAGACAATGAAGAGGGATGAAAGAAGAATTGATGCTCATGAATTCAGTGTTGGAGAAGAGCTCTGAATATCCCATGAACTGTACAAAAAAACAAACAAAAATGTCTTAGGGTATATTTGGAATACTCTTTGGAGGCAAAGACAATGAGGCTTCACTTCACTACTTTGGGCTTGTTGCTATGAGGGACTATTCCTTTGAGAGGGACATAGTACTTGGAAGGGTGGAGAGTCAGCAAAGAGCGGAAGACCTTTCATCAGGTGGATCAGCACAGTGACTGCCATGATGGGCTGTATTGTGCCAGGAAGTGTGAGGATGGCACAGGAGAAGACAGTATTCAGATATGTTGTTCATAGGGTCTCTATAAGTCGTATTCGACTTGATGGTACCTAACAACAGCAGCGACAAACTCCACCGGCTTTTGGTCATATAATATTTCGTGAAATATTTCTGTGTCACCCAGTTCTTTTAAGCTGTTAAATGCAAGCAAGAAGCAATAACTCAGGTTTCCTCCTCTGACAACCTAGCAGTACAGGGCTCAAATATACCAGCAGCTGCTTGGGATGAAGAAAATCAATCTGTTCTCATGTGATATACTGTCTCTGAAAACCCAATGGAGCATCAACAATTATTTTATTCAGACACGATGGTACTAAAAACTGCACATGTAGTAAGTGAATAGGTATAAAGCATCAAAACTCTTATCGAAAAAATAGTCTCTCCTTTCACTTCTTCTGAAGAGATTTCATTTCTTTTGTTGTTATTTCTTTTTTAAACTCTTGTGATTAGTAGATCAACATTGTATTAGCCATTAGTGTTCTTAAAAGAATTGAAACAATGGAAGCACTAACAACCTATGGATAGAGATAGACCCACACTGCCGTGGTGGTCAAGATAGCATGGTACTGGCACAATGACAGACACATAGATCAGTGGAATAGAATTGAGAACCCAGAAATTAGCCCATCTACATATGGTCAGCATGGTATGCATAGGAATCAGATCTACTACATCTGTGGAAGGAACCGCTGGAGAAGCTCAATATCAGCTGTGAAAACTAGGCCGGGGCCTGATTGTGGAACAGACCACCAATTACTCATATGCAAGTTCAAGCTGAAGCTGAGGAAAATTAAACCAAATCTAAAGGAGCCAAAATATGACTTT